AGATATCAGCAAGCCCCGGCTTAGAATGAAATAACCGAAAAGTAGATACTTACAGTGGCTTGGTGACGCCATCAACAAGTTGATTGGCAGTGGGAACATAAATAAGTTTGAGTAAACCTTTCTGAACCTTGTCCTTAACGAGATGGCAGTCAATCTGAATATGTTTAGTCCTCTCGTGGAAAACATGGTTCTTAGATATAACAATTGTTGATTTACTATCACAAAACAAAGTGGTCAGCTTAGAAGAGGTAACCTGCAAATCAGATAGTAGGTATTGCAGCCACTGCAATTCACAAACAGTAATAGCAAGAGCCCTATATTCTGCTTTTGAACTTGACCTTGCAACTGTGGTTTGCTTCTTGAATCTCTGAACCTTCTTGGGTGGCAACTCATTTAGAACCCAAGTGTGATTAGACTCTAGTGCTTGAATTTCAGCCTGCATAGCTTTTCTACAACAATGATCTTTGACAGCTTGATTATAGGTCCTAGGCTCATAAATATAAGAAATAGCCACAGAAAAAGCCTTATGTGTGGAGCATAAGCTTTGATATGAAAGAACATTATATTATTTAAGGAATGAGGGGAAGTTCTTCTAACTGTGCCAACATCACACTAATAATCATGCAGCTTGGCTGGTAATTGTCTCTGTTAGGAATACCTTCTGAGACCTTGGTTTAATGAGAAATCTTCTGCAACATCAGCAACAGGTAAAACTAGTCCTGGTGGATTGGCAGTATGCTCTATTGAAAAAGGAAAGACAGACTCATAAAACTTTACATCCCTGGAAATGAAAACTTGACCAGTATTGAGGTCATATAATCTGTAGCATTTGATTCTTGTGGCCAATCCAATAAAAACACACATCCTAGCTCTGGGAGCCATTTTATTTATGTTATGAGCTAATGTTGATGCAAAGCACGAGCATCCAAAAACTTTCAAATTAGCATACTCAGGTGTTGTACTATGTAGTAACTGAAAAGGAGTATTATTACCAATGAGAGGAAATGGCACTCTATTGATAAGAGAGACATTGTGTAGTACACGTTCTCCCCAAAAATTCATTGGCGAATGAGCATGTAATTTTATTGCCCTAGCTACATTTAGAAATATGTTGATGTTTCCTCTCAACCAAACCATTTTGCTGAGGCGTATCAACACATAGTTTTTTATGCAAAATTCCTTTACAGCTGTAAAAATATGGCATATGGAACTCTTTATCACTTCTAATTGTTTTGATACAAACATTGAATTGAGTTTGGACATAAGCACAGAAATCTTGCAGGAGATTCCTGGCATGTGATTTATGAGACATTAAATGCAACCATGTGTATCTACTATAATTATAAACTATATATTGTAAGAAAATAATAATCTCCACATAAAGATGCAGTAGTAAAGTGGCCCAAATGTGTGAACAAGCTCAAAACAGCACGATGAAGATGTAATACTTATGAGAAATGAATTCCTCTTTTGCTTAGCATAATGGCAAGTGTCACAAACAAAACTTTTATTGCTAGGCAAATCAATGCTAATGCAGTCAATATGCTGCAACTTATTGACAAGGAAGATGTCCATGTCCTAATCTATAATGTCACAATTGAGAATACGCAGAATTGCAGCTAGAAGGAAACATATCATTTTCCAAACCAGGAACACCAGTCTTCAGCAAATGTGGACTTTGAATATAGTAAACGCCAATTGACTCCTTAGTTATGCCAATCATCTTGCATCCATTCTTCTATGGGATAAAACAATAATCATCTAGAACAATTAAGCAACAACTTGAATCTTTTGTTAGCTTACTTGTTGAGATAAGATTGAGGCCAAAAGATGAAACATTCAAGACATCCTTAAGCAACATAGAGGCATAAAGTTTTATGTCACCAACGTGGTCAACAACCAAACTACTTCCACTTGGTAATTTAATAGTAGCATCATCAATTGGCCTGTAAGAATCACAATAATGCAAACTACTGGCAATATGATCAGTGGCTCTAGTGTCAATTATCCAAGTGAAAGACAAGGAATTATTCACAACTCCATTAACGAAAACAACAAAAACAAACTTGCCTTCATCTGTAATATTCCGCAGAGGTAAAAACTTTGATTGTAAGCCAGATTGTGTGGAGTTGTTGCTAGCTAGAGTGCAAGCTGTGACAGCAGTTGTAGTGGAACTTCCTTAGTCAGATATTGAACCAGTGGATTGAGTGGCATTTAGCATAGTTTGACTTTGAAGATAAGGCATCTAATTCTTCAACTGATCAGCAATGACGCCAAATTTATTAACCTCTCCCTAATAAGAATTTTTAGAACTTTAGCCTTGATTTTGTCCTAAAACCTATTGAAATTGCTTGCCTCCTGCCTTATAACCTGGTGGATAACCATGTTTCTCATAGCATCTGTCAATAGTGTGTCCAGATTTTCTACAGTATGTATATGAGGCTTCCTATTACTTTGATTAGACTTGAATTTTCTTCTGTTGTTATTACTGTTAGTACGAACATTGGCCACACAAACAACATTATTTCCAACATTTGTCTCCATATTGTCAGTAGAATTCATCATGAGAGAGTGATAAATGTCAAAGATACCTCTTTATAAGGGTCAATTTCGGGTTGTTCTATGCTTAATTGCTTTGTGCTTGATTTATGAGGAAAATGCTATAAAGTCTTGTTATTGTGTTGCAAGGCCCTATGATGTGTGCACTTTACTTTTTTGAAGGATTTTTGGACAAAAGATTGACATATGGCCATGAATTGGACCAATCTTGGAAGAGTGTAGCGGAGGAAACATCAGAATACCTACCATGAGCGTGACGGGTGTCGTTACACAAATCCAGCCCCTACCACGACCCGGATCACGATTGTGGATGGGCACCTGGGCGCGATAAGTGGCTCTGGCTACGATCGTGAGACGGGCGTGGTAGGGGACGCGCGAATGATTGAAACCCAGGAAAATGCACTTTAAAAGGAGAAATTCAGTTGGAGAAAGGAGGACTTTTGTTCATTTGTTAGATATTCCATCTTAGATTTTTTTAGTCATCTCAAAATACTCTCAATTTCTAGAGAGAGAAACTGTTCTAGGTTGAAGAGTATTGACAACACTTCTTGATCTTGGAGCAATTTCTCTTCGCTTGTTGATTGGATTCTACCTTTGGATTGAATTGAAGTTTGTAATCTTTCATTTTCTATCTTCCAATTTCATCTTCATCTCAATGCTTTACTTCAATTCATCGTGTTTTCAATCTAGAACCATGAGTGGCTAAAATCTCTAGGGATTGGATTGTGATTCCATTGCAATGTGCTAGTGTGACTATGAATTGATGAATTGGAATTGTGTTTGTGAATATTGCTTGATTTCATGTTGGAAGTGAAAAGATTGATTTGTATCTTTGGAGTTAGGGTCCAATTCCTTAGATAATCTAGGATCTATTGTCCTTGACAAGAGATTCCTAGTTTGATAAAGCCTTAATTCCACTTGCAATTCTAGCCTTAGATCCAAGAGGACATAGTCCGGAATGAGATGTAGACAAGGTGTTTAATGAAATACTCATAGGTGTAATGTTGACACTTGGGTGGTTCATTACTCTATATGATAGGCCATACGGACCTAAAATGGCTATGGCTATGGCATTGATAGAAACCTCACAATAATCACAATTACACAATTCTTAGCTTAGACACTAAAAGCAGATTGCAATGGAAGATCAATCCATACCCCGTTCTTTCCAATTTGATTTACTTGTTCAATTACTTTAATCTCTTGCACTCTTTACTTTCAAATTCTTTACACAATGATAATTGTACTCCTTGAATCTTGTAAGTGACAAGCTCTAGTTTATCCTTCAACTTGCCTAAACACCTCAACGCTTCCAAATTTGCCATCCTTGAGATCGACATCCAGGGAATCTTCATTCCTTACGTTTCTTTCCAACCACCGCTAAACTTACAAGTCTGTCAGAGAGTTAATATTGAAATTGTTAAAATCAACCTACTTAGACAACAATTTCCTCTAATGCCTGATAATCACTCAATATGCTTTAGTTAATGAAGGCAATGTCTCAATTAAGAGAATATGTGATTTGATACCTAAGTATTCATCATTCAAGTCTTTCGAATCTCATGACTTTGTCATTCTCATGAAATTGTAGCATCTTAGCTAATGCTCCGCATGAACACTTAGGGTTGCACATACACAACGGTAAATGCCAGATGTTCTGCATTTCATCCCAAAGGATTTTGAGTTGGATGTAGTATTGAGTAACGATTTGTGAACCTTGCTTTATAGTACTGAATTGATCTCATCATGTAAATCCGAAAGTCTGATGGCATCTTTTTCTGAGAATCAATCCTTTAATTCATTCCACACCTCATCAGCAAATTTAATCCACAAAATACTTTGAGCAATGACCGATGAGACCGATCGAACTATCCACGAACAAATCATATTATTACACCTTTGCCAAGCCTCATACAGTGGATCAAACTCATTAGGAATCGATACTTTGCCTTCAACAAAACTTCCATTTGTTTTTGGAACTCAACCATGGCTCTGGACCATGTGTGGTAATTTGATTCAGTGAGTGGCGGATTGACAAGGACGAGACTAGGATTTTTGTTGCCGTGAAGAAAAAAAATACTGCTCAGATCCTCAGCCAATGCTACTCTTGTTGTGTTTGAAGTTCTGGCAGAGGTTCCGACAGTGTTTGAAGTTCTAGCAAAAGTTCTGACTGCCGTGACGGTAGCGTCGTAGCTTGGTCGTCTATGGTGCTCTGATACCATCATACAAAACATGAATATTCATGGTAGCATATTAGCAGGTAGAGCAAAGAGAGAAAAGAGGCAAAGGAAATGGAAAGTTTATTTTTGTGTAGTTTCTAAATTATTACAAAAACAAATAATGCAATTCTTATATAGAACTAATAGAAGGTTCTAGTAACTACCCTAAACAGATTGGTTGGCATTTTTCCTCTACTTCTGTTAAATTGAACAGCCAGAAAAACTTTGGCAAGTACAAAACTTCCCTTTTAGACTTTTACTTGTTCGTGACTAACATGTGTGGAGATGTTGGTAGTACAAATCCTGTTCTTTGCCTTCTTTGCCTGATATGAATGAAGAAGAAAAGTGGTTAATATTAAAATGGGAGTATAATACTAACCTTAAGAAAAATTTGCAACGTCAAGACACCAATGTCAATAATATCATATACAACTATATATGATACACTTGATTATAATGATTACTATATGAACTCTATTACCAATATATAGTACTCAATACACTATAATCAAGTATATCATACATATATAGTTGTGTCAAACATATTATTAGCACCCTAAAAGAAAAAATCTTATAATTTTTATTCTTGAATAATATACTTTTACGAGTAGCTTAAATGTAGATGCTATATTTTATAGGGTAATTTAGAGGCTAATTGTGCTATAATTAGAGTCCTTTAGGCCTAATTCATGCTTAGAATAGCTTAATTTGATAAAACATAGGATTAAGGACTAATTTCATTGCCTTCGTAGAAAAATAGCAAAACATTGTCAATTTCAGGGCATTCCGGCGACAGTTGGGTAGAATGATCATGTCTTGAGTTAGGAGTGTCCAAATGAGGTGATTCAAGTGGATATGGTTCGGCAACTTCAAGGTCTACAAATTTGGTGAAGGGAAAAAATTTCAGAAAGATCCACGAAATTCACAACGAGCGTTGCGAAGTGCGTAGGCGGGTCACTTAAATGAATAAACTTCAGATTTTAAGCCTATTTAAAGGCTTGTAAGGGGATCACTTAAGATGACATTCTTTTTCCCATTCCTTTACTCTCATATTCAGCACTCTTAGATTAGGTTAGATTAGGGTTTATCTTTTCCTTTCATTTTATTAGATTAGATTTACATTCCAAACCTAGAATTCATTGTTCAACATTGCTATTGGATTACGAGCAACTAGATTGAAGACTTGGGTAACATTTCTTCTCCTTGCTTTGATTTCATATCTAATTTGTGCTTTGTGATCTTATAAATGATGATGAATTACTAGACATCTAGGATGTGGATTGGGATTGGATTGTGTTTGTGTTCTTATGCTTTGAATGTGTGAATGATGAGATTGGTTGTATGTATTGGCCTTGTATGCCTTTATTGTAGAGGAGTGCATATTGATATCTTTCCATTGAGAGCTCCAATAGTTAGATGAATGTGAGAGTGGAAGTTTAGCAAGAGATTGCATTCTCCTTAGTCTTGCCCTTGCAATCCCCTTCCTACGACCCGAGAGGGCGAGCTTAGGGGAGGAGACGGTAGACTACCCGCCATGTGTTTGATAGAATGCCTCGTCCGACGTAGGGAACAAGAGACTGGGTCCTACACGCCCTAGTCATGGTGCCTTAGGTCTTCCTAGATTAGCCAAGTCATTTAACCACTCTTGTCTACTAAAGACCAATGAGTGCACAAACCAAAATCCCAATTCCATCCAAATTCCCGTTTTATTTTCTAGTCTTACTTACTTTGTTTAGTTTATTTATTTTCTTTGTTTCTCATTTCCACACACAACCTCACAAGCTCTCACCAAGCACCTAATTCATCTTGTCTACACGTTGTGACAACTAGGTTGTCTTGCACTTTGCTTGCTCCGAACTGGCCACCCTTGAGTTCGACACTCGGGGGTTTCACAACTTCCGTTTACACTCTTTCACACACCACTTTAATCCACCACAGTAAACCACATACCTTATCATTATGGAATTGAGTTAATTCCCAAAATGGTCCTCCGACTATGGCTTTTTCTTAAATTGGTACCTTGACTGTTAATTGCACCCAAAGTGGTCATCCGATTACTGAATTTTAAGCCAAAATGGTCATCCATTAGTTTTGGCGTGTAGAAGGTGTTAAAATGAAGGGTAAAATTGGTAATTCAGGTTTTGCACTCCAATTTAAAGCAATCTGTGACTCCTTTCAGCCGTCGGCGCACATATTTCTTCAAATTAGGTTTTTGCTCTCCTAAATCTGCAATCAAAATGTGGAAAAATCCTAGAATGCCAAAAAAGTACTCTTCAACTTCATCCACAAACTTCCCAGGCAAAGATTTCACAATGGAGATGTTCCTGTTCGTTTTTGTCAGTGTGGCATGCAGTGGAACATCTTAATGAAAATCCCGAACGGAGATATAACCGAATGAGACCACATAATTTATGCCAAGATTGCCAATAATATAATAAACCACATGACAGTGAGAAACATCATCACCTAGGCATAGCCCTCCTGAAACAGCCATCCATCCACACACAAAATCAAGAGCACAGTAAGCCGACACATCCCAGTCCAGGCTGTTGAACAACACGAACTTAGGGCATCCTCAATAGGTGGGGATTTTCCCCCAGATTTTTGTGGGCCCCAACATCCACCTCATCATCAATTATCTCACTAAATCCTAAAATCTCTCATTCCCATTAGTTTTAAGTTTTTCACAACTTTTTGTGGACCCACTATTTTATCTCCATATTTTAATTAATTAATTATTTATTTGAAATAATTACTTCTTTATCTCAAGTTTCTCGCCATTCTTGACCTCCGTGCTCAACGCAGGAAACCGTCGTCACTGCCAGACGAGAGAAGGAGAGACGGAGGAAGATAGAGGCCGAAGGAGATCCTTTCCACTGTCGTCGTTCACTGCCTAGCTCCGCCGCCGACGATGCTGGTTGCAAGAGTCGCTGTTCAGCTGCCACCTCCGGAGGGAGAGAGGGACGATGAAGGGTTCTGAACGCCATCCAAGCCGCCGGCGCCGGAACAGGGGACGTCGTCGGAGACCACCCTCGCTGCCACCGCCTGTTGTCCACGCAACGCCCAGCTTTCCTTCAATAGATGTTGTCCACCGAAGTCTTGTCACTCTGAAACACTCACCTTTTATTTTTATTTAAAAAATAAAAATCTGACAAAATTTTGGTTCCTTGCAGGAGAAAATTATCACCAAAATCCCCAACCCCCATTTGTTAAAAGTTGAGCAAGACTGATTTTACTGTTCCAAAATCCATCAATAAACCCCCTATTGGGGTTGCCCTTACCGTGTTTATCTCCGGACCACAGGTTACACGTCAGCGTCTGGTACTCCTGGTCGTGTTTGAGGTTTACGGTGAAGTTGCCCTGTTTTATAGGTCAGTTTGACTGCCGAGAGAGACGCCGACCGTCTAAGTCGCAGGCTGTCAGCAATTCGTTACGATTACGCTCTCGATCTAGATGGTGAAAGTGGTGGCGGAAGCGGCCGCCAGAATAAAAAACGAGGCGTTAAGGATGAAGACCAGTAGAGTGATTAGGGCAAAACAACCAGATTCCATGCTTTCTTCTTCAATTCTTTTTTGCATTGCCTGTACTGTAGCTTCTCATCTTCTTTTCAATCCATGTTTAAATAAATATTCAAAATAAGAGTTAATTCCCAAAGTTTGGCAGACCATAATTTGGCAGTTCGGAATTGAAGGTTCTTCGTTGGCAGACCATACTTTGGCAGCACGCACCGTAGTGTTCGTTGCAGTTTGGGGAAGGATGGGAAAATCGCAATTAGGTTTCTCTAATTTGGGAAGCACCTGGCTGGTCAACGGTCTAAACAACAAACAATATAAAATGTCTGTTTTGCCCTGATTTTTAACGGTAAATTCACACCAAAGTTAAGGGAGACTATTTTAGCTTTAAATTTAATAGTCGAAGGATCACTTTGGGTGCAATTAAAAGTCAAGGTACCAATTTAAGAAAAGGTCATAGTCGGAAGACCAGTTTAGGAATTAACTCTTATGGAATTCTTTAAACTTCGAAAACATTTTGTATATTACATTGTACTATCTTAATAAGCCCTGAATGCAAAGCATGTAGGGTGTTCACTCTTGTGTTATATGTGCAGGCATGAAGATGAATCTGCAATTCATATGTTTGCTCGTTGCCCGAATGCTGTGTCAGCTTGGAATTGCTTGGGACTACCAGCGTATTCGACCACTTATGATGCCAGTGTGTGGCTCTTTGAGTGTATTAATGCTATGAGGGAGGATTTACTTGCTAAATTAATGGTGGTTTGTTGGGGTATTTGGACTTCTAGAAACGAGAATGTGTGGAAGGGGGTGGCTTTTGACTTGAACTACATATATGCTTTGTCGATCCCTTGCGTTTCAAGAAAACTGGACAACAGCTAATACGCATACTCCGATCATAGCCACCGGCAAAAGTGTCGAAAAATGGACACGGCCGAAAAGAGGTATGCTGAAGCTAAATACAGATGCAGCTCCGCACAATGACACTAACAAGATGGGATTAGGATGGGTTTTAAGAGATGACGATGGCAGATTTTTGGCGGCCTAGAATATGTGTGTGCCCGGGAGTTACATGCACTGTAAAGGAAGCTGAGGCACTAAGTACCCGGGAAGCTCTTAGTTGGCCGATGGGCGTAGGAATGAGAAATGTGGAGGTTGAAATGGATTCTCAAATTGTATTTAATGCTTTACATTCATCTTCCTTTAGCACTTCATTTGGTTTGATAGTTGATGACCTTAAAGAGTTAGCAACCACGATTGGTGGTGTTGAATTCTCTTTTGCTAGGCGATCTGCGAAATGTGTCGTCCACACTGTTACTCGGGAATTTCGTCTGAGGTTGCTAGAGTGATGCCTGAACTGAAATGACCTGCAATAACAGGTCGTTTACCGGTTCTTGGGCTTCATTGCCTCAATTTGACATGTTTGAGGGTTTAATTGCACTTTTAAAAAGTTCAGATGCCTAATTGACTTTTGATGTAAAGTTAAGAGACCTATTTGACTATTTTCCCTAGATATTATTGTCCACACAATACGTGATATGTATACTGTTGGTTTTAGGGTTTTTGGGCCCAGGGAGGTCCAACACAACCTTAGTCGGTGGATCCACCTTTCAACAAAGCTTTGAAAAAAGGGAAAAGAATAATTGAAAGTGAAAGAGTGCTTCTCTATTCTCTAGGCATGGACTCGCCCCCTTTACATTCACGGATGGGCCTTTATATAGTAGGCCATCCATTAAACCGAGTTAAAACACATTAAAAGATCCCTAAGTGATAATTATGCCTTGAGGCCGTTGGGTGCCGTTACCGGGCCT